ATGCAGCACATAAGAAAGTCTATAGGAAATTTATGGAAATGTCTGTGGACATGCTATAGAGTTTTACTTCGACGACGCGCACTGTACGCATATCGTTACAAGTCCAAACAAGGTTTGAATAATAGATTTTGCGATGTTGAAAACATTCTTGACTTGTTATTCACGATCTTATATTCGAGCCAGTTTTCGATACCATTCAACTCATAATCCGCATCATTTACAATACAGACGTCAATATGTTACAGGAATAAGGATATACTTTGCGAGTTCAATAAAAAAAAACCAATTTTTTCGAAATATCTAATAATATAAATATAATACAAAGAAAAGTAAAGAGACTTTTTTAAGGATTTGTTAATATCTCTTTACTTTTTGACTTACTCTCGCGATTTCGAATATATGTTCATACATACGTAAAATTTCAATAATCTGACAATGAGTTTTTAAATTCTAAACTTTCAATTTTTGAATTTTTATTTCCTATCTCGAGCATTAATTCTCCACTTTTAATTTTTAAACTCACAATGTTTCAATCTATAAACTTGAATAAATTTTCAACTTCAAAATCTCAATTTTCAACACACAACAGCTGCAAATTACTATTTATAACTCTTAATTGGCCACTTTCAAAATACTCTTCCGATAATCACTACATACATAATGTTAAACACGTTTTGATACCTCGCGCAGAAAAATCTGGCATGTTCTTACTTCGAGATACCCCGGAAATCTCGAGGAAATAGATCCGTGCGTGATCCATTGGTCGGAATGGCGGCTCGCAGTGGAAGAACTGCGCGCATATCGGTTTCGCCGTTCTGAAACGTACGTATCATTTCCGCGGTAACGCATCTCGTGACGGGGGATGTCGATAAGTGGATATTGCGAGGAACAGAGGGGTGGGACGGGGGGGGGGGGAAGAAGGAAGGAATCGGGGGAGAGAACTCGGAGAGGAAAATCTCCCGTGGGAGTATCCACGTAGAACGCGTCACGTATCCCTCGGATACTACTCGTATACTGCGACGAGTTTTTCCTCGTCTCTTTCCCTTCGATTCGTCCGCTCTTCCGGCACCTCACTCCTCAGTAAGGTCCCCGGATTAACGATTAAACCGCCGATCATTGTTCCGTCGATCATTGTCTAGGACTTTTGCTCTCACGTGTTGTTTCGCTGTTCGTCAGCTTAGCATGCCGATCGACGAGAACGTATAAAAAAAAAACATGAAAATATAGTGATGTGATGTCATGGTGCAAAAATCCAAGAGCAATTTGTTAAATTACTTGTTGCAAAAATATACTGAATAAAAAATCACGCCTTTGAGAGAACAGTATTTCTTCGTAGAAACTATTAATGTTTGCCTTACAGTCACGTAAACGTATATTTAATAAAAAAAATATTTTAAAAAGAGAATGAATTTTATAATAAAGCAAACATATATCATATGCGTATAATGAGCGAATTTTTTTAATCGACGACGTCTGGTTTCATTCCATTTATCTTTTTCCTTTGACCAACATTTTTAAAATATTTCTAACTTTTATGCCTTGTGCGCTTGTGCCTTTTATGCTTTTGTGAAATTATATCGAATGTGATACGATTTTATATCTTTCACTTAACACAGAATCAATATCACAAGTGGACAGACTCATCGCATCGTTAGTGAATCATACGTACGTTACCATGAAACGGTTCTAACGACGACAGTATCGTTAATGGATCTTTCTTCGAATTCTGCTTTAAAACGATATACCGTGCTGACCCATGCACTCTGCACTACACATACATACACACACTTATACACATATACATGAGTGCCAGGATGGAGGGATAATGGAGTATTCGAGATTTAAATTCTGTCAAGCTATAACGAGGGGAACGCTTATTACGCTCCCCCGCGACATACTGGCAGAGCGGAAAGAGCCATATTTTTTGCGATACTAAAAAAAAAATGAATAATTTTACTGAATTGCCAGAAATCGCGGTTAATATGGTCGATATATTATTTAATACATTTTACAAAATAGAAAGTTATAACAAAAGTAGCGACAAGTTCTATCGCTATTATTATTAAATTGTGTTACAAAAGAATAAAAGGAAATAAACGCTAAAAACTTTTAAAATTAGAAAAATGAGCAATCTACGCAAAAAAAAAAAGAGAAACATACAAAGGAAAAGCTTTTTATTTTTTAACAATACAAGCAATGATAACGCTAGCAATTCAATTCGACAGAGTAATGTAGCGATCTAGCACCATGCAATGTATTTTGTGTTATCTCCCATGCACAAATACGTCAAGTCGAGAACTTTTTATTCTATTGAGGCACATGGGAATATATTAAAAAATATAATTCACTGAAAAAAACGAATATAACGAAGTATAATGCAGCACATATCTCAAGTTTCCTAGCGTGACGTGCGCAATAAAACCGCGTGTCACTTACTGAAACGGAAGAGACGTCGAGCTCAAATTCGCCGTTCGAACTGGAGAGGCGAGATTGAGCGTCGGGTGCGGCGACGCTCGTCGATCCACGATCGTCAGGGCGCGTTGCACAGCGACGCGGTAAAGTACAAACAAGAGTCGCTCGCTTTTGCACAAAAGTATCTCGTTCTTGCGGTAAGCGAAATCAGTGCGCGATAGGCGCGCGGCCGGAAAATCGATGGTCGGTATCGGCCGCGCGGATACGCGCGGAATAAATCTTTCGCGCGCTATTTTTCCTTTTTTTTCGATTGCCCACTCACCGGTTGCGCATTTCCTATCGGGCGTTTTCCGGTTGCTCTCCTCTGTTATGCGAGCGTGCAAGGCCTTATCGGGCGTTCCGTAAAAATTCATTGCTCGTTCGAACGCCGATAAGCAACACAGAATCGGTCAAGAATACTTTGCGAGCCGCTGGATATTTTACCGCCACGCTGTATTGAATTGCCTCTTTGCATTGTGCGCCGATCTTTGCGGAACGATACCAGCTTCGATTTCAGCTTCAATTTTGGAGTTTCCGACATGAATATCGGAAATAGATTTTTGTCGACTCCCAAGCGATCGCGCTGCTGCGTGCAGTATGCATCGATCGTTTAGCGTCTTATTTTACTAAAATGCGCGAGCGCAGTATTCTTTAGCTCATTTTTGATATTCAGTGAGCACTATTACAATTTCTTGTGAAATGAGTTTTAGGATAACAGAAAATGAAGGAAAAAGCTATTTCCTAATATCAAATTTACATAAAGTTGTAATGCAGCGTATACGTCATGTTGCTTTCACAGTACAGCATCATTCTAAAACTATGAATATTTATTTGCGACTCTCCAAATAATATTTTTATTCTGTCTTAATGTCTTATCTTATTTTTATTTTCTTTTTCGGTCATTTAATTTTCGTAACTCGTTATTTCAGTATAATTTTTCTGCATTGCGTCGATATTTTACACGACTGAATTAGAGCGAAATAATTCGAGAAAACTTTATTAAACTCTTCCATGAGATCTCCCGCGCAATCAGTGTTTTCTTTCCTTTCACGGCAAATTGCTTATTCCTAGAAGCAAAGTCGCGTTGAAAGTACTGCATAGGCAAAGTTAGGAGGTCAGTTGCAATAAAGTTAACATAAATACTCGCTGAGCAACGGGAAGTATATTTGCATAACAAAAACTTTTGGAATTGAGTGTTGAGGAAATTTTCAAAAGGAACTCTATAAGACATCTCTTCAGTATTGAATAAGCCGAAAGTTACTTGATGAAAATGTCACTTGATTCTATTGTTATCGCTCCAGTTTCTAATACTTTTTTCTTAGTGCGCGATAATTTATAGTTCGTAAGAGTCGAATGTCAAACATCAAGTATTTATTGATATATACATACATATGTATAAAGTTTTAAATTCCTCATGAATTATTAGATAACTAATTAATAGAATACTTTTATTTTGTTTCAAAATTTTTTAATTTAACTCGAATCATCGTGAATAGATCTTTCTTGTTGATGCTGGATTTCGGCTCAAATATATTATTCTTCGAGAAATCGGATTCTTCTAGGCAGAACGTATTTCGTTTCCCGTCTTTGGGTGAATTGATTATTGCATTGTGCTTTTCCGACAAACGTGACAAATGTCCCACGAGCAGCAAAGAATAAGGACAACCGTACATTTACCCGAAATGTTCAACGAGGCGTGAGAAGCTTATTTTCAAAATCGGACTTGATTGAAACGTGATTTCGCGATCTCCCATAATGTTCCGTTCATTTCGTTTGTTCATTGTTGTTTCTGTATATTATTCCTATTAAATTATTGAAAAAATTATTAAACACGTGTTTACATATGTTGCGTACGCGCTTTCTTAACGCAATACGCTTTGTTATTGGCGCTTTGAATAAAGTGCGTAATGGCAACACGATGAATGCGCAAAGCACAATTAATGTAAGCACAGTACGCGGATCCATCATATCAAACATGTATTACGTCCGTCGAAGACAATGTGGGAGAAGACACACGTGAACCATTAGCATTTTGCACGGGAATCACGAATGACGATAATAATCAGCGCACGCGCGGCACTGAGTCAATGCAATAATCAGGCTGGACTTTGCGTTCGCGTTAACGAGCTCGAGATTCGTGATTTCATGTTTACTTCCGGTAACGTGCACCGGATCGCAGAATTTGCCGTCTCGGGCATACACATGCGTGTCCACGCTTGCGCACGCGTGCGTCTATGCGTGTACTACAGGCAAACATACACGATACGGCCATTATACGGGACGGAGTTTACGGCGTGCGGAGTGTGTGTAGCAGATACTGCATATGTGTGTTGTGTGAGCAGTCTGCAATAGAGAGTATTGCCATGCAATATTGAGTGAATCTAATGAGGGGTATGCCCTCGTGCCGGTATTAATACTGCTAATCCAATTAGTTGATAATCTGCAGTGCTCAAATGTGACCAGGGCTATTAAGGCTCCTGGTCCCGTAGCCGTGAACTCCGCGTTGACAGTGGCGACATAATTGTGGTAGGAATAAAAACCTAGTCGAATTTACCTAGTCGATTTATTGTATAAGTAAATAGTGTAACAGTTTGACCTAATCAATTGATACGATAAAAGTAAATTACTGAATAACATACAAAATGCTAATTTATAATTCAAAAATTTGTTTACAAAAAATAAACGCGATAAATACAGAATATATATAGCTTAGTACCGTTACCGACATGTCCATATGACAGAAATTCTCATGCAGCGTCTTAGGTGGAGAATCGATGAACTATTAGACGTGAAAAAATGACATGTTGACTACCCAATTTATTCTTGCGTGCCATTTCGTTAATATTCGTTAAATGTTAGTGCTGTGATATGTGACGTGTTCATGAAACCTGTAAAATTATCCGAAAACTAAGATTAGCAGGGAAAGCCCAACGTAGAAGGAGTATTTTCTACTCATACAGACAGCTGTCAACCGTGTGTTTTCTCGCATAATTAGGCTTCGCTTCACGGTTGATTTAACGATTGTTTATAACCTGTCAAGGAAAAAGCATAGTTTTCGGACAATTTTACAGGTGTCTTAAAGCGATCTAGAGTGTTACTTTGTTAAATTATCATTTTATTTAGAAATGGCACGCAAGAATTCTCGGCGTGTCATTTCTCGCTTCTGACGTCACGAATCTAATATGGCTGCGGTGACTACCCAGGAGCCTTAATCTATCTTTCAGAATAAAATGATTTGAACTTTTCAAATCTTCTAAATTTCTATCTGTGAGAAGAGGCAAATTTGCTCAATATTATACTTAGTTCTTAATAAACAGCATAATCAAGAATTAATAAATTAAAGTATTCCAACTTTTTGTCTCGAAAGATGAACACTTCAACTTAATGTTACCATTGTCATTATCATCTTTCCTCTTCAGAAACAAAGAATTTTCTCGCATCCAGCGCGATTTTTTTGGTGGCTGGTCGTAACTCTACGCGCGCCCTTATTCTACGATGGATCCCAGAGGATTCTGTGAGCCTGGCAGGCCGACACGATCGCATCGAACGAGCCAGATCGAATTCAGGCGTTCAACAGAATTAAGCGATCGACCCGCGGCGCATGATACCCGCGGGATTGTCGACAGAAAAATGCCCGCGAGTCCGCTCGTCGCTTTTCGTTACGTTTACGAGCCTCGTAAAACCCCGACGAACGTACATATATCTTCCTCTCTCGTCTCTCGCACATTCCCGTCCTCCGTGGCGACAGCCACTCACATTTCAAAGTTACGGCCACTCGTGCCTTTGTAGATCATGTGTAATATAACGCGAAATACGCGATCAATTGCAAAACTTTAATAAATCACAACTCGTTGACTAAATGAGTGATAAGCGAAGTTTTTATATGATTTTAATTTACAATAATGAGATACCGCAAAAATATCGTAGGAAGTAATGAGATTTACGAAAATTAATAATCCGGACGAAACAATTTCTATTTAACACAATTCGCAATCTTTTTTAAATTATATTTTCTTATCTATGAGATAAAGTAAGGATAAAATCTATTTAACTGAGTTTAAGCAACGTTGACGCAACTAATTTCAAGTCGCACACAAGAGAATTCAGAACTTTAGCGAAACTATCAGTCGACCCGCAAGAAGGGAATCGTTCACCAAGATACGCGGAGAAATCAACGGCGAGAAAATTGTCTCCGACAATCGCGAGTTCGATTACCGCGACTTCATATATAACACAAGACTCGTCTTCACACAAGGTTCGTTGCACGTGTGTGCGCCCTGTGTACGTCGCCGACCGGACCCGCGGGAACCGTACACGTCGCTGTATACGTTACACACGCGTGTACCTATGTACTACATGTATTTCGGGCGAGCGCGAGAAACCGGCATTCCACGCGGTCCATCGGGAGTCCTGGCAGCAGGATCAAAACACCGCTGGGAGATTTCCCGATAAACAACGGTAAAGTCAACTTGTACAAGCTGTACATACGTGAGACCATTCCCATTTTGAACGGGCTTTTTTTGTCGGCTAACCCTCCAAGACTTCGGATGTGTAAAGTTTCATATCGTTTTACTCGTATAAATTTTCTGAAAATCTGACAACTTTTTTAGTAGAAAAATATATTTTTATATGTGTGAGAAATTTAGCACTAAATTAATATTTTATTCTCCATAAAAATATCAAGATTAATAATTGTGTTTAATTAAGAAATGAAGAGAAATGGAAATTTCCGGGAAATTACTCGTCAGAGATAAAATATCAATGTCCGATTAAAGCGTTATAAGATAAAAACGTATCTATTTGAAGAGAAGAGATACGACGTATTGAATTCGAAATAGAACATCACAATATTTTCCATTATTTAGTAGCTTCTCGATCGCCGTTGGGAAATCATCGATACGCGATAATATATCGATAGCAAGCAAGAGGATAAAGTGGCTGACCCAGTTTTACGATCCAGATAGTGATGGTGGATGCGAGCACAATTTATCGATTGTGTCCCGTCATTGTTTCTATTCCTGCTACATGACTTCCGTCGTTTTTAGCACTGTCCAGTGTCCTGGAATTTTAGCATCAAATACCACGAAATGTTCTCGTACCTTTCGTGGAAACGTGACGCAACGTCCGGGAAGAGTGACAAGCGCGTCCAATAGAATATAACTCATTCGAGAAAAATGCACTTTCCGACGCGCACGGTTAGCCGGGCACTTTGATTTAATCGATACCATTCTGTCCCGACGAATTGAGAGAGCGTTCTCGACTCGTTACATTACGCGCGTGTGTCTTTCGAATAATTACGCAAAAAAAAAAAAGAGAGGAAAAGAATCACCGTTGAAAATTCATTATTATCGAAAACGATGGGAAGACACGCGCTCGAAAAGAAAGGGTGCAAAAGGGAGAAGGAATTGTGCGAGTGGAAAGGGCGCGCGAGGATCGTACGGTAGGAGTGGGGTCTCGAGAGGCCTCTTTGCCGAGGACAGCTTTGATCGTGTTTTCGTCGATGGGGAAAATTCGAAACGCTTTCGCGAGAAGCGCGTTTCGTTTTCCCGTCTAAGCTACAACGCTCTTGGCTACGATGGAAAAAAAGCGAGCAGAAAAGATCATACAAGTGCATACAGTAAGAGTAGTTTTCCCCAACCTGTCTTGCCATTTCCCTTTTGCTTTTTGTATCGACCCTTTGCCCTCCGCTCCGATTTTCTTGTATGCCGGGTGGTTTGCCCGCGCGATGCGTGTTAGTTCTACTTTAACGTTTTTAGGTTCATTAGCAAACGTCAAAGTTAAAACTCGACGTCGTAAAAGTTGCTATTGGCGCTCGTGCAGAAAGTTTTGGAAAACGTCGTGTTATTTTTTTTTCCTTTTCTTTGAATCACATACGTTTAAGCCGCAGAAGTTTATGCTGGAAAACTCAATTTTAAACTAGTCAAAGAATCTGTAGGAAAAAATACAACTTGAGAAATGCGCTTTTACGCAATAATTACATGTTATATGTATTGCATTATTGTTGACGAAGCTGTGAATAGCAAACAAATTTAAGATTTTATTTGAAAGATATCTATGTTTCTGTTTTGCGCACACTTTTTTTTCCAAGTTGGTATCAATATGACTACGTCACTTTCTTTGATAAAAATTTCAAGCATTGTAAGAAACAAAAAAGGTAATCAAAATCGTACTCGATTTTTTATTCTTTGTACATTCGGCTTAATGGGCGCCGAAGCGAATGTAAAGGACGGTTAATCTTCTTATCAGAAAATACGACACCTCTCTGTTTGGGGGACAAAAGCAATCTACACGAGGACAACTAGGAAACAATTTATTCGGTATCGAATAGCCGCATTTTCTTGTTTTTCTCCAACTTGATTACGTGTCCGACCGATCGATCGAACATTACTATCGTCTCCCTGTAGCCACTGCAGTAAGTCCCCTTCTTAATTTCTATCACGACTCGATGACAAATAGCACGCTATAGAGAAAGAAAAAGCAATAGACACCGTTGATTGAATGGGAAATGAAATTATTAATATCTTGCTGTCCGCAGTATCGTGGCGGCACGATATTCATCAGGGACAGAAAAATCGGGCGAACAAACGCCCGTACTTTCGATTCGTTAAGGCTCCTGGGTAGTCACCGCAGCCATATTAGATTCGTGACGTCAGAAGCGAGAAATGACACGCCGAGAATTCTTGCGTGCCATTTCTAAATAAAATGATAATTTAACAAAGTAACACTCTAGATCGCTTTAAGACACCTGTAAAATTGTCCGAAAACTATGCTTTTTCCTTGACAGGTTATAAACAATCGTTAAATCAACCGTGAAGCGAAGCCTAATTATGCGAGAAAACACACGGTTGACAGCTGTCTGTATGAGTAGAAAATACTCCTTCTACGTTGGGCTTTCCCTGCTAATCTTAGTTTTCGGATAATTTTACAGGTTTCATGAACACGTCACATATCACAGCACTAACATTTAAGGCTCCTGGTCCCGTAGCCGTGAACTCCGCGTTGACAGTGGCGACATAATTGTGGTAGGAATAAAACCTAGTCGAATTTACCTAGTCGATTTATTGTATAAGTAATAGTGTAACA